ATCCATCCATCCATCCATCCATCCATCCATCCATCCATCCATCCATCCATCCATCCATCCATCCATCTGGCTCCCTCAATCTCTGTTTGCAGGATCAGTTTCTGTCAGCCTTCCTAGACAGACCAGGCAGGAAACATGACCAGATGAGCGAATTCTACTTTATTGTAAAGCTATATTAACAGAATCTTGCAAGTCTGAAAGTGCAAATCTTCCCCAGTCCCCTTTACAGCCCGAGAAACTAGGGAGGATCCCTTCTGAGCCTCTTTCTTCACCTGTTATGCAGCTGTGGGCTGGGCTCCCTCTTATCTGACTGTTCCTTAGCTGGCATCTTTTCACCCCGTCTCCCAAGGTCTTTCCCACCTACCATCCCATCTTCTAACCCCCATTCATCCTCACTGGCTTTCTTTGAACCTGTTCCCATTTCCCTGACTCTTTCTTCGAGGGTGGGCCCATGTCAGGTTCAGCCCAAAGAACTCCACGAGACAGTGCAAATATAGTTCTGTTGCGTTTCTTAGCTTCCACCTCAAGACAGAATCTCTCCAGACTGAACCTAAGTTCCCAAGCCAGCGAGCCACAACACCGTGAATTCCTTAGGGTGGTGCCAGTCTCATCTTCTTAAACCTCCCACGCTCCTCCTGGGGGCTAAGTAAACCCTTATCTCCCTGAGTGTGGCCTTCATAACACCATTCCATCACAGTCTGTTTCCTTTTTCTGCTGTTCTGGGTTGCTGCAATGCGTTCGTGCTCCTCCTGTGCAGGGTTGGGTTGTTACTTTGGTAATGGAGTACTTGATTAGTGTGGGTTGTCTTCCAATAGACTTGGGTTTCTAATTTACTGTTGTTTCCTTTGCTGATGAGGATATCCAGGAAGGGTAGCCTGTTGCTGTTTTCTTCCTCTTTGGTGACTTTTATTCCTCTGAAGATGTTCTTGATGGTTTCATGTGTCTTCTCTAGTTGTTCCTTTTTTATTATAACGGAGGGGTCATCTACATACCGGATCCATACTTTAGGTTGTACGTGAGGAAGTACTATAGTTTCTAGGTATTGCGTTAC